CGGCTGCCGGGGGTCCTGGGGCGTCTGCCGCGGCTCGGAGGTCACGGCCCGCGGAGGGCCGGGGGGAGCCGTCCGGTCCCGCCGAGGCAGGCTGCCCGCACCCCGGCTGTAGCGGCGCTCAGCGGCCGCCTGCCTGCCGGCTGCCTGCCGGGCTGCTCCGCGGCCGGGAGCCTGGATTCGTCTGCGGTACGTGTGACTGAGCCTCCCAGTCTTGGCGGTTTGAAAGGATGTGTTAAAATGCCTCTTGGTTCCCCTCTGAAGGAATCGACTCTAATTCTGTCCGTAGAAACATTACTGATTCTTTTTTCTTCACAGGGTTCGGTGAATTGATTCAGCCTTTTCCTGCCAAGAAATCTGCCAGGAAATCTTCTCTAATCGCTAAATTCTCTGCTTTGCTTTCTAAATCTGTTATTCCAAGCAAGGAGTCTTCAAAAACAGTTGCAGATCAATGCTTGAGTTAGAAATTAGAATTAGTTTTCTGTGAACTTCATGTTACCGGCACCGGTTTTCTATCACAGCAGTGGTCTGCCAGGATTAGGGGCTGTCTCTATACCATGCTTGGAGGCACAGACCTATCTTTGAATGTTGCTTTGCAGAACCTTTTTGAGATTGTGTCAAAATGGAACGTGAGTGTATGGAGAAGATCAACACTTACTGTCAAAAGCAGAAACTGACACTGGTTTATGCCAATGTCAGGATGACCGGCCCATCTCATGATCCTGAGTAAGTTCACTATGCATGTCAATAAACATCAAGATTCTTCCTGCAATGAATGAACTGGCTAAGGCTTGCAATCGTAAAAGTTAATTTGATGAAAGTGTGTATGTGGCAGGAGAGCTGGTTGAAACCATAAATTGAGTGGTAGGTGGGTGGGGAGGATGTCATGTGATAGAGTTTGAGGAGAAAACTTATTCCAGAGTTCATGGCCCTTTCTTGGAAAGCAACAGCAATACACCTGTTACTGGTAACTATATTATAAGTATGCTCTGCATCTGCCATGAAATCTCTCAGGAGGTGGGGTGGGTTGCAGCAAGTATTTCAGTTTATGATCTATGCTAACTTGAGTGCTTTGATTTTTATTTAGTTTTACAAAGTGTGGAAATTATTTGTGACTTATGTTGTTAATTTCTAACCATAAAGGTTGGGTGTATATTAATTGTTCGGGTACCAACATGTTTTATGTGTAGTTAATTTTTGAACACCTGTTACAAGAGAAGAGTCTTTTGCTTAAGCTGTTTTGCTTTTACTTTTCGAGACAATTACAGGTGATGGAATATGCTTTATTTTTTAACACAAGCATGGTGTTTTGCTATTTTTTTTTTTCTCTTGCCAGAGATCATAGATACTCAAGATCTATGATGTTTCCTTGGGTGATTTTTTTTTTTAATTTTTGCTTGTTTGCATGAAGACAAGCTTTATGCTAATGATTAGTATGTTTCTTTTAATGTCTTCCATGTTGCCAGCCAGCATTGTCTGTGCTGACTTATTCTTGGACCTGACCATAGTCCCAGAATAAATTAATAAGTATTAGCTGGGTCTCAAATGTTAATCAGTTATCTTAATTTTTTCCCCGTGCAGCTCACATAATTCAAAAAAGTAACCCTTACTGCAGTAATGGCCACAGCTGTGGTCACACAGCTACATCTTCATGCTTCAAAAGTGATGGCATGGGACTAACAGAATTTACACACATTTCAAATTTATTCATTTATCCCATTTATTGTGCTTTTAAATTTTTTCTGTGTGCTCTGCTACATTCACAAATATAATTCAAACCATTTTGTTGGATCTGTAAGTGATGTGAGGTGTGACAGTGGTATCTAGGAAAATCCTGGGTAACTTGGACTGTTCCAAGGAGTACAATGTACAGTGTCTGGCTACAGTGATGAATGCTGTAAACCTCCTTTGGTGCCTTTGTGGTGCTCTTTCCCAGTGCTCTGTCTGCTAATGGGATACATTGGCTACTGCTGGTCCTGAGCTGGCTCCCTAACTCTTCTGTGCTGTGTCCCACCTCATAAGTCCTCCTGCAGTTGTCTGAGGCATGATGCAGAGACACCTCCTGCCATCTCCTCCCCTCCTATCCTGGTTTTGATGCTGTAGCTGCTTCCGCTGCAATGTCTGTCAGGGTCGGTGCTGAACACAATGTAAGAAGGTTGAGAGAGCACAGGCTGGCTCAGTCCCGAGTGGCAAGCTTTCCTGGGCTGGGAACGCGGTGTGTGGACAATCAGGCCAGTGCTGCCTAAACCTGTCAAGTCTGGAGAGTGCTTATTAACATGGCGGATAAGCGTGACTGTACATTTGGGACCAGCTCATGTAACACTCGTTCAGATAATCCTCAACTCAGGTAATTAACTCATGGGTCATTGGGACTCAGACTGCAGATTTCCTCAGGATGCTTAAATGGTGAATTTTGGATGCAAAGTCATAGCTGAATGTATGTAGTATTCAGAGCTTAGATACGGGTTGACTAACAAACCCTTTCCCAAAGAACGATCTTTCATGTTTTTTTTTTTTTTTGTATGCTGTTTCCTATGTGTAGAGTGTGTGGCACACTGGTGTGACTCGTCATACTGTTTATCTCCTTAAGATATCTCATTAAGGCTTGCTTACGCAATGACTGCAAGCACTATTCTGCATCTGCATTGTTTTCCACCCAAACATTTCATTAAAGGCAAGTGGAGAGTGAAGTTGGAATACTGAAAAAAGTGAATTCCTGAAGTCATTCCAGTATTTGAGACAAATCATCCCAGAGAGAAACTCATGGTGCTATACCTAGACTGTTTCTTTGTGTCAATCTATCTTGTTGATTGTGAGCTTGTGTATTTATATACTCTGTTGTAATCTGAAGTACAGACGTACCCAGACATTATAATAATGGTCACGTTAACATGACACAAATCTGTGCTGCTGTCAAAAGCAGAAATCTAGTTGTTGTTTTCTGCTTTGTTGCCTTTTGTGCAAAGGCAGCAGCAGAAACATTAGGGATTTTGCAGTTACAGGACAAGTTGGATCTGGATAAGAACTGATTTGGCTGAAAACCAACCATTCGTTATTAGGTCACTGTGGTGGGTTGAACCCAGGTGGCAGCGAAACCCCCAGCCAGCCACTCACTCACTTTCCCCCAGTGGGATGGGGGAGAGAATCAGAAGGGTGAGAGGTAGAAAAACTTGTGGATTGAGATAAAGACAGTTTAATAAGTGAGGCAAAGCTGTATGTGCAATCGAAGCAAAATAAGGAATTCACTCACTCCTTCCCATCAGCAGGCAGACGTTTAGCCATTTTCAGGAAAGCGGGGCTTCATCATGTGTAATAGTTACTTGCGAAGACGAACATTATAACCCCAAATGTCCCATCTTCCTCCTTCTTCCCTCCGCTTTCATTGCTGAGCACAATGCCATGTGTCATGGAATATCGCTCTGGCCAGCTGCCCTGGTTGTGTCCCTTCCCAACTTCTCACACACCCCCAGCCTACTTGCTGGGAGGCTAGAGTGGGGAAAAAGAAAAGGCTGTGATGCTGTGCAAACACTGCTCAGCCATAGGTAAAACGTTGTATTATCAACACTGTTTTAGTCCCAAATCCACAACATAGCACCATACCAGCTGCTATGAAGAAAGTTAACTCCATTGCAGCCAGACCCAGTACAGTCAGTCCTGAGCTGCGTCAGTTCCATGTTCTGACTCACGGAGTTGCTGTATGGGAAGCAGTGCATGCACAGTTGTGTAACGGAGTGGTAAGGGATCAGTGGTTCAGTGTGGAAGGGAAGGACTTTTTTGTTTGTTTGTTTTTTTGTGTCCTGGTGTTAGAGTTTCACAACCTTGCCTGTAACAATGTTGACCTTATGCATTCTTTTGCTTTTAAAAATTTAAATAATTTTGCTTTTAAAAAGCAGTTAAGCATTTAAAAATACTGTTAGAACTAATAAAGTACATGCATTTGTGACTAGTGAAGAAGCATTTAAAAATATTTCTACTAAAGAGTTATCATAATCAGGAGTTAGATATAATAAAAACACATTAATACTCAAATACCTCCACAGTTAACTTACAGTGCTTTGTAGATAATAAAAAGAAAGTTGAATCTGAGAAGGTTATTAAGTATACATGAGACAAAATGTAACAATGTTTTAGAAAAGTTTCCTTCATTGCAGGTTCACAGTTGTGGTTAAAATAAACGATGTAGAATATGGTACAGGCACTGGTAAAAATAAGAAGGAAGCAAAAGCAGTAGCAGCAAAAAAAACCTGGGAAATGATTGAGAAACAGGTGAGTAAACTGTAGGATTTAATTTTTTTTTTTTTTTTTTTTTTGCTAGTAAAGGTTGAAGATGAATCTCTAAAAGTAGCCAATATAGTATCATTGTTTTCTTTATTTTAGAAGGGTTTCTAATGCTGCCATCCCTTTTCTTTTCTCTGGTCAGGGCATTCAGAAATTTCAGAAAATTCAGAAGGCAGCACTCGCTTTTTTTCTTTTTAATGAGACATTTCACAGCTCATTCCCTGTCTTTTCTTAAAAGAGGTGGGAGGAGACATGGTGAGAGGTTGTTAGGCATTGGTGCAGTACTTGGAAAACTGGATTTACATTTCTTTGGAAGTTCAAAATGTAATAATTCTAGGTTGGGATGACTGTCCTCTGCCACAAGGGACTCTGTTAGTGCAAACTTGGGATTTCTTAAAAATATTTTTAAATGCTGACAAACCTTGCAGCTATATTAGATCTTGTGCCCTGCTTATCTTAATCCGTTTATTAAGCTTAAGTTTTAAAGTTACCTGTTTTGTTTGTCTTATAGCCAGAGAGCCCTTCAAACATGCAAGCTTCAGAATTAATGACAACGCAAATGACGTTATTACCTGTACCAGCCAATGACTATGTCAGCCAACTAAACATGTATTCACAAAGGACGCTGCAAAGAGTTGATTATCCTAACACAAAATGTACTGGAGAAGCCCATGCTCCCATGTAAGATGTGCTTTGTCTTCGTCCTTGCTTTTAATACTTCTGGTGTTTACTAACACTACCATTAGTTACCCTGAGTAGTGTTAGATGAATCTTTAGAAATACAATAAAAATTTGGAGGTAGTCTGGAGAGAATCCAGTGGAGGGCCATTAAGGTGGTTAAAGAGTTGGAGGATACGGCATAGGAGGAGAGGCTAAGAGGACTGAGTTTGTTTAGCTGGGAAGAGAGATGGCATGATGATAAAATGGTAGTCAGTGTTGACAAATTGTCCGTTATCTTGGTTGTAGCTCTGGCACCTTTGTGGACCTCTCGGCATGTATTTTGGAGACCCCTAGGAAACAAGTGCCAAGGAGAGCCTGTTTGTGTCTCCTGTATGCATTGCCGTCAGTGAGTTGTAGAAACGTTTCAGTTAATGACAGCTGAGGGATGATGAAGAATATCTGCATATTTTAACTCTCTTGACAATGTCTGCTGGAAAACTCCTCCTCTCTTCCCCTGAAAAATCAGCCATTTAAAAACCTAAATTGCAGATAATTTATGATTGTGGGTGCATAGGATAAGGTGCTTTGAGGAGTTCCACCTTAAAAAGTGCTAAATATTCACTCTCTGAAAATTGGTTATCTTGAAGACATGCCAAATTAGTTACCTACCATTATTAATTAGATTAAATGTATATGTATATACATATACATATGTATATATGTATACATGTATATATGTATACATCTTCTGTCCTGAAGATGTATATTTCAGATTTCCATTCTATAATGTCAATTGACTGTAGTGTTTAAAATCATTAAATTAAGACTTGTCATATGGGATATAAGACTTTATTCCCTGTCGTATTTTACAGGTTTTCTTGTAGCTGTACAATTAGTGGTTTTGTCTATGGAAGTGGCACTGGAACTTCTGTAGCTGCTGCAAAACAAGCTGCTGCGAAACAAGCGCTTGAGAAGCTACGTAAGCAAGGCACTCTAACAGTATGTGCTATATTTAGCCTTATACAGAAGTTTAATTCTTGTATCTTTAAGCTCTGAACAGATTTCCTCATTGTATTTAAAAGCATATTCCATGGATTTCACTTAAGAGGGAAACAATCCATATTTTGGTGGGTTGGTTTGCCTACAGTATTCTGCTGGTAAAATTTATGTTGTGTTTCTATATTCAACTGCTGGATTAAAAAAATCTCACAGTTGATATCTCTGCGTATTTCAGAATATGGTCTGATAAGTTGTCATTCAAGGATGCACGTATCTTAAAAATTTCTGAATCCTGACTACTCTAATATAGCAGTTGTCTCCTGTGTGTTGTCGAGCTGACTGGCTATGAACATAAATCTCTTACTGCCTTGTGTTGGATGAAAAATCTATTGTGAAATGTGAGAAAAACAAAAGCAGGAGTGAGATTCAACAGGACTTCCCTCCTGTAGTATTCCAAGGCAGAGTCTAGTGAAGCAATTGCTAACACCATCCTCTGGAGAGCAGAGCTATTGTCTTCACGTTGGTGATCATATTTCCATACATACAAAAAATTATTGAATTCTAATAGTGATCTAAACCCACTTCTGAAATGCACAGAACAGTACATATGAGCTAACTTAAATGAAGTGTAGTTTAAAGGGAAGGAAGACAGTATGGAGGAGGAAAGAAACCTTTTTTACTTTAAGTACTTTTTTCATTATTTGGCTGTTTACTGTGAATTTTACATGCTTCTTTTATTGTTGTTTTTAAGTTAACCATGTAATTAATGGCCTCTTATAGCTCTAGGATCCTTCCTTAACATTTTCCTGTGTTGCAAGCTCATGGGTCTTTGCATTTTCATCAAAGTCTGAAATCTAGTACCTTGAGCAGAACCTCAGTAGCAATTATTCTAAATTTGGGGTGGGTTGTTTTGCTTTGGTTTTAATTTTTATTAATTCCAAGACATGCCTGTGTAACACACAAAATGTAACTAGCAAAAAGTAGTAAAGGACCAGTACTCCTGAATTAAAAAAAATGGGTTTTGTTTGTTGGCTGTCATTGAAACATAAACTGTTAAGTTTTTTTAATTTTTGTCAGGTTATGGTCTATAACAATCATAGGCGCTGCTTTTAATGTTACATTTAGGTTCTTATGATATAGGGGGAAAGAAAAAACTGGGGGAAGAACCTCTACTAAGTATTTAGGATTCATTTTTTTAGTCAACCCCAATTTAGTAATTCAGGTTTCGCAGGGTTTTCACACTGAAGACATTGAATGTCTTTTTGTACAGACTCAAGATTTTCAGTTCTGCTGATGACATAAACCAAAACCTACATATATCTTGTTTTCCACACAGACAATTGCATATGCAGTAAACAATGAAAACATTTGCTTTTAGTAACTGTAAGTCTTATCCTGATTTTTAATAGATCTCAGACTCTACTTCTGCAAATGTGTTTATATAGTCTCAATATGAGTGGGAAAACGCTCACTGTGACACAGCCCTGTATTTCACTCCTCTGGATGGAAGTTAGGCAGATGCCTTTCTTCTGTAGGGCTTTGAATGTTCAGTGCAGTTAACAACTTCCACTTAGGACCTTGTAATCTTCCCTCCCCCCTCTTTGAATGGCATCTATTGCACTAGGGGTTTTTTTATGTTATATTGTTAACCATTCTTGTTTTTTCTTTTTTCAGATGGGAAGAGAAGAATCTAATGGAAATTCTACATTTACCGAACATAGTAATTCCTCTCAAGTGCCAACTCAGTCTGACTCGGAGTAAGTTGAGTTCACTGATAATGTGAAACAAAATGTATTTACTAATCTTAAAGGGTCATGTGATCTATTTCTAAATAAAATCTGTCATAGTGTCTTTTGCAGTATAAAGCCATTTAATTTAAGCTTCTATTTCTTAGATTTCAGAGCAAAATTTGTTGTACTTGTGCAATTTTATTTGAGTCCTTACGGGTTAGCTTATAATAATTTTAGAGCTTTCTAATATATTTATATTTTGCCATGAGTAGTTCTTTCAGAAGCATTTTTACTGTGATGGAAACAGAATAAACTACCTCATTCAGTAGTGTTAATTCATGCCATTTTTAATACTCACTTTCCTATTGTGACACTTTTGTGAACTCAGTATAATTCAGTTTCAGTACTTTCCTGTGCTCCACATTCTGCTTTCTTCTCTGTGTTTTTTTTTTTTTTTCCCTTTTTCCTTCTCCATAAATCTTCATTTCCACCAAAGGGAAAATTTGCTTAGCAAAAGAAAATGAACACACATAAAGTTTCATTTGTGATTTGGGAAGCCTAGATCAAGCCTTTTGTGTCCAGCAGTTAATTTGACTGTAGTGCCACTACCACCTCTTTTATGTTCTTTGTGCGATTGTAAAGAAAGCTGATACGTACAGTGCTAGAGGTGGCTGCACTGCCTTGAAATAAACATCAGTATTTAACCTATTTAATTTAAGGATATAATAGAAAATATATCATATAGATATCTAGATATCATGGCATCATAGCATAGAAATAGAGGACTATATTACAAAAAGTTATTTTTTTATTAGCTTTCCAGCATAAAGTTTTGTAGTTCAAATCAGTCATGATTGTTAATGCTTTTTCAGGTTTTGCTTTTAAAAACTATGGGGGTTTTTATGCTTCTGTTTTTCTTGTGGCCATAATTTTATTTATTTATTTATTTATTTAATTTATTTATTTGATTGTGTTACTTTCACCTAAAAGTAGTCTACTATTTTTCAATAACAGCAGTGTTTCCTTTGAAGACTCAGCTGCAAAGTTAGTAGAAAAAGTGAAAGACATGGCAGTATGCGAAAAGCCTTCACCTTCTCAGGTATAGTATGAAAATGGTCTTCCTCATAATTACATTTTAGACCCTGAATAGAGCAAGCTTCTTGTCAGAGTGTAGCACCAGTTTGTTCCTTTATCCACTAATCACTAGAAAACACATGCACATTTTTACTACGAATATTCAGTACTTTCTTACTGTTACCATTAGTGTGGACCCACTTTATGTACTGTTGACTAAATGGGCAGTACTCCCAAGAAAGGGGATCACACTGAGCTCATATTTTTCTGTGGGAAGAATGATGATGTCATACATAGCACATGTGAAAAATTTTAAGCTAAGATATGGCTTCATTCTTATTACATTGTTTATAATTATAAACATTACCTTGTTTATGATTTATATGTTTATAATTTATAGACAATTCCTAGTTACATTCTCAGACACATTTTAAACTAAGTAGAGTGAAAATATTCAGGATATCTCAGTGTCGCGTCCCAAAGTTGGAGCGACTCAGGTTCGTGGATTTCCTTTGTCAGAATTAAGGTGAAAAGACACCAGGGGAGTTCAAACAACAATCAACATTTATTCAACCTAGCTAACTCTGTCCAAGTACACCTGAACTTGTTAATATGAACCTTGCAACATGTCATTAAGCCGCTGTTTGAGAAGAGGAGGAAAGTACAGAAAAATGAAATGGAAAAAGGAACATGAAATGTATCAGAAGGAGAGCCCTCCCGTTGAGTCACGAGGTTCAGAGCAGACCCCCTTGCTTTCTGGACTCCTTCTCAAAGAGGAGCTCAGGGGCGGCTAGGTCCACTCCTAGTCTCAGACTTGGTCAACGGTTTATGTTTCAAAGGATGAGGTGTAGGGACTGTGGAAAAGAGAGAAGGAAAAGAGAGAGAGAGAATGAGAGAAAAAAGAAAGAGAGAAGAGAAGGGTTTCACCAGTCCTGGGTCCAGCGTTGGTCCAGCCAGCGTAGAGATCCAGTTCCGGAGGGCGCGCACTGAGGATTCGTTCTCTCCTCTTTTATAGTGTGTTAGTTGATGATCTCAACGTGCGCAGTTCCCACAGCTGGGGTTCACTGGAATCGGTAGCTTTGGGGGGGGTGTTCATTGTGGAGTTGCCTCTTTTTCCCTGCTGGCATGACGGCTTAAGATTGAAGCACAGTCCCAACTTCCATGGGGCCTTCTTCCTCCAGGAAGGCATAAATTGTGTTCCTTCTCCTGGTCACTCAAGATAAGGAATTGGGGCCTTGGAGAAGTGCGTTCCCACCCTCCGTGGGGCCCTCTCCTCTGTCCACATTGTCCTGTTCACAAAACTCCAGCATTTTTACAGAGGCCGTTTTGTCCACCAAAGCTCTTTTAGCGGATGTTTGAGACATTTGAATTTGTCAGACCGTCACACTCAGTTAGCTTTTTTTTCTCTTTTTCATGTAGAGAGACGCACAAAGTTCTGCCCTGAAATCCAGAAGGTATGTGTTTATTTCTAGGGTGCTATCTCCCAGAAACTATATTGCAAACCAGTTTAATGTTTCTATATCTAGCAAAGAAATGCCACTATTGGGAGGTACATTTCTTTTCTCTTGTCACATATTAGAAAAACGGCTCATTATAAGTTTTGCTTTTATCCTTGTTAAAGAAAATTGGCAGCTAATTTTGATAATGCAAGAAACAAGGAAGAGGAGAAAAAGATGTCAGATTTAGATGAAAGTTGGCCAGATTTGGACACAAATACCAGTGAGGAGAATGAAAGTCCATACACAGTGAATAAAAGGTAAGAAGGATTTTTTTTTTTTTTTAAATAAGATCTGTATGGCAATTACAATATGTAGTGGTCTAGATTTGTTTGTTTATTTATAATAGAATGTGGGAAAACACTGTTGTAAAAATAGCTTTCTAAGAAAATTGGTATTTGAGATACTATTTTTTTTTCCTGGAAATTTCAAATACAGTATAGCAACTGACATGCAATGATATTTAATGCTTACAACCAAAAGTCATTTGTGAGAAGATGTGAGGGTAATTACCCTACATGCTTTCAAGGGTCAGTTTCCCTTGTTTTTTTAATATTCAAGACTATGATTTAGACCTGTATAGGTGTTGAGTGATCCCTGTAGAATGGTATTTCAGCAGATGTAGTAGATCTGTCAGGATCATTTTTATATCTTGTAAATTTAATGTTAAGTATACTTAAGTTATATATATTTTTATTTTTTTTTTAAGATTTCTTGAGAGTTTTAAAAACATAGAGCCTATTGGTGAAGGTGGTTTTGGGAATGTTTTCAAAGCAACAGGAAAGCTTGATGAGAGAACCTATGCAGTCAAACGAGTTCAATTCGCAGAGTACGTACTGTAAATTTACTTCTGGTTTTTATTTTAGGACAACCTTAATCAAGATTTTAGTACTTTGTTTTGTCTCTTTAATAATCCTTGGAGCACTTAAGCAATTTTCATTATTAATTGTACATTCTTTCTGGTAAACTGTTTCCTTTATTTCTAAGTGAAGCTGAAAATGGCATGCAACTTTGTTAAATTTTGCATGCACTGGAATAATTTCAGATGCAGCTGTAAAAAAGTAGATTTGTTAAGTTCTACTTTCCCTGAACACACTAGTGCTCTGGTTATTAATGTTGCAGAATGCGTTTGAAGAAAACTTGATGATTAATAAAACAGTGAAAGCAGCACTGTTACTTTTGACAGGTTACATGGAAAATTTACATATCAGTAATGCATAATGACTATAATTAGGGAAAATAGAGAAAAATGAAAGTAATACATTTTGTGGTTTGTAATTGGGAAATGCTTTATATATGACCCATGTAGTCATTATTCTCACACTGTGTTACTTGTCCTTTATAAATCTCAACAGAGAATGATGAGCTTAATTTTTTTTTTTAAAGTAATTTTCTGTAACCCGTACCTAGTGGAGTATTTTATCAGCAGGTGAAAAACTGGAATTTCTTTTAGGTAATCTATTGAAAAAGTTTCAAGTTGTTGGAGATACTTGTCCCTTACATTGTGTAACTGCCCTTCAAATTCTTGTGTTCTTCACAAATATATGTTATGTTCATTTGTATTGTAGTCCTGAGAACTATACTAGAAAACGTTCTACTGGTTATTCAAATAAAGACTGCTGGTCTGCTGATGGGTTTGAACTTACTTTGCTAGCCGATGTTATAAGTGAAGGCCAAATTTAGTAATAGTTCTTCATGAGTATTTACATGTACTTCTGTATATGTAAACAAACTTCATACAGGTGAAGAGAAAACATGGGTGTTTGCTACATTCTGTTTGACTACCTAATATAATTACACATTGCAACTATCTTCTTTTTTCAGCTTTTTTTGAGTGCGGCTTTCATTTCTAATATGGTTAAAACATTTTTTGCACTTTGAATAACTGAGCAAATGAAAGAAAACCCACAGAATTTGTAACTACAACTTTGAACTTGTATGAAGGAGAATATTATCTTCTTTTTCTAAACTAATGTAAAACTGTATACTGCTACTTGATATCATGTCTTTTATTTAACTTTAATATTACATTTTTATAGAGAAATGCCATATGTTTCTTTTTTTTTTTTCCTTCTTTTTTTCCCCCTCCAAATAGGAATGTAAAGCGTGAAGTAAAAGAACTTGCAAGACTTGACCACGAAAACATAGTGCGGTATTATTGTAGCTGGAAAGGGTATGACCACGTAACTTATTCAGACTCAAGGTAACTACAGGATAGTAGTTTGCACTCACAAACTTGTTTGCCATAGTGAATTTTGTGTTGTGAAAAAAAAGGCTGATGATTGGTTATAAATCATTATACAAATATAAATGCATACACATACTTACATACTTGCTGTTAGGAAAAAAAGGCACAGTACTTTTCAGCAGCAGGTCGTATATAATTGAATATATTTATATCTTCTTTTCCTTGATGGATAAGATACATTATGTAATTTTATCTTGCTCCTCTCTCTTAATACACAGAACTTGCTGAATCTATAGAGGAGTGCAAGAGTGCAGAACTCAAAATTTGGGGCTAGAATTAACAACAGAAACTAAAAAATTGTCTGTCAGTTGGTCGCCAAATTCCTGATCAGAAGTTTCTTTTTTTTAAGTATTGGTCAGCCAGTAGCTCTCATAGATTTATGATTTTTTTTTTTTAACTTAGATTATTTCTCTAAGTTAGTATTTTAACTGTGATGCCTGAAGCAGTTTTGGCTGTTGAGAACAGAAAAACTAAATTAAATGCTCTTTCATTTAGAGGTAGTCTTTCAACACTAAGACTTCTGGGAAGATAGTGGTGAGAGTTTTACTCATAAGTTAGGTTATTAACTTTTCAAAACTTCTGTGGTAAGCTTTTTTCCCTAGCTGTAAATTCATACCCTTCAGATACGTTGCCACACTTACCTAGATCCATAAAATATTAATGGATTCAAAATTATGGTTGGTATGGTATCTGTCCAGTGTGCTCAGTAAATGAGGAATAAAATGGGGGGAAAAAAAGTCTTGTGTCAAAACCCAACTGTTAATATGTTGGAGTCTCAATATCACTTATGCATTTTAAATTGAGCAGTTATTGGGTAAAAGACACAAAAAAAGTCCTAAAAGCTGAAGTCTCAGCCTGGAATTCCACTTAGTGCCCTGACCTCAAGGCTACAGAATGTCCCGAGCCACTTAATGCTTGTTCTTTCAGTGCCTCAGGCGGCTTTATTGCAGGGCACTCAGATCACACAGTGCAAGTAGGAAAAAGTGGTGCCGCCTCCTCTTCATATTGTCCTTCCCCTCACCATCTCCAGCCTCAGCCTATCTTATGGGCTGATGGTGAGGGAACTCTTTTGGAAAGTGTGAGGCTGTCAGGTGGATGAATATATTTCATCTAGATTTCCAGCTTTCAGAAGGGTTTCTCTAACTCACAGATTGATGTCAAAGATGGTCACTGCACTACCTTCTTGAAGGGACAGAGTTTGAAAGGATGTAATCATACTGGATAGGAGAGGAAGGCTTATGCTGTCTTTGTTGAGTGGAATAGAGAATACCTGCCAGAGACTTGCAGCAGTTCCTACAGGGCGAGATGGGAGCCAAGGACAGTGCTATTTCTTCCTGTATAGGACATGCTTCTAGATTTGAGGGGAGCAAAATTTGGGCACTCAGAAAACTTTCAGTGTGAACAAGGAAGCAAGCAAAACATAGGAATATTCCAGGAGTATGTAGCAACTGAGCAAGGATTCTTTGGTTTGCAGTTCTATTTATTTATATCTAGAAGAAATTAGTCTACGATCTTTTTAAAATCAAGGGACTTGCAGACTTTGTTTTGGGGAACTCCAAAAATAATAACTAACAAAAAGGTTTTTTAAAGAAGACCCTTAGAATCATTGATGGCTTGGGAGGCATTGTATCTTGCCAATTTCAATATGGTATATAATTTTCTTTTGCAGGCAGAAGTCAAACAAAGAAATTACCTGTCTTTTCATCCAAATGGAATTATGTGAACAAGGGCCATTGGAAAACTGGATTGAAAAGAATAGACTAGACCGAAAGTATCATGAGATGGCACAAAACAAATTTTTACAAATACTGAAAGGAGTGAAATATATTCATTCTAAAGAGTTAATTCATCGAGACCTCAAGGTAAGTAGGATAGGTAATTAAAAAAAAAATAGATAAAAGTAGTACTTATTGGAATTTCAGAAAATGTTAACAGACTGAACAAAGACAAGAAAAATTTATGTACCCTAATAGTGTGCCTCTTTTGATACTGCTAGTGATTATTTGTTTTTCAGCAACTGGCTGCATTTCATCCTAAAATCAGAAGGTAAACTGGAGGATCTTGGAATGCAGCAGTTCAAAAATCAGGAGACATGAGTTAACAGGCATTTTCAGTGTACTATGTGTTACTGGGTCACAAGACTGCTTATTGGAAAAAGAAATACTAACTTTACTTGATAAAATAATTAAAAGCAAGAAAGTGAAAAGTTGAGTCTAGGAAGTTTGCTCTTGCCATATTGTAAAGGGATAGTTTATCTATCCTAATACATGCTGTGTTTGATAACGACATACTCTAGTTGCTCTTGTATCATGTATGCATACAAATATTTGAATGCTACTTTTTTGATAGAATTTCAGTCTCTATAAGTGCACAATCATGGAAAGATTTTATTTCAGTATGAAGATTATAAAGGACAAAGTTGCAAGCCTTCAGAGCTTCATATGCCAGCCATAATGTTGCTTACAGAGTTTTAAATCACTCGCTTTGTGAAAAAGTCATTAGTATGGTGGTGGTCCTAAAAACGGCTGTAGTGGGTCACATTAAATGTCAATCTAGGATGCTGTTCTCCTTCTATTGTGGCTAATTCCAAACACCTAGAGCGTATTAGAGCTGAGAGGTGATATAGTGATGCTGTCCTTGATGCATACTCTCTTCCTCTCAAGGCTTCCAGTAACCTGAAGTTTATGGACTTCTTGAACCAGAAATTGAAATCTTTTGCATTTTGTGTTCACAGTGTAGTTCCAGATCACATTCACTGCCCACTCATAGAATCTTCATATCTTCTAGAGCTTTTCTATCAGGCTTATTGCTACAGTACTGGAATGAACCACAAATAGACACTCACTATTTTCCCCAGATGCCTGGGAGAAGAGGCCTAACAAGTGCTTTCTCTCCTCACCCATTAATTCTTAGCTCTTCCTACTCTATGTGCTTTGTATTTGCTTGCTCCTTCAGTCTGACTTTATTTTCGTCTTAGCTCAATCTCCTACTTTTCCCTATTCATATGAATCTGCTGCCCCAGTCACTTATCCATGGCATCTGGCTGTAACCTGCTTCCAAGTCCTATTGCTAACTTGCCTGTCTGCATTTGAATTTAGGAACTTTTCTCCCCACTTTGATCTTTGATTTGCATTTGAACTTAGATGCTTGGCCATCTGAGATCTCCATGCCCTAGAATCAAAGCTGCAGGATAGGTTCAACCTGAGATGAATCCCATTTGTGCCTGGTATGAATGTAGTCTTCAAATAGCGTAGCCAGGTATAGGTACTGTATTAAATGTGTGTGGACATGGTCAAACTTGAACCGAAGAACTACATTGGGCATTCTTGACACAAAGATCTCTTCCTGTTAAATATTAAGTCTCTCCTGGCCTCTTTGAGTAAAAGATTGCATGAGGCTATTCGGTTTTGGTTTAATAACATTCAGAAATGTAGTTTCTTTATCTTCTTTGGCAAATTTCATCCAAGCATATACAATTCTATTTTTAGTTGCTTATGAGTTTGTCAAATTTAAAAATGGGATGTTCAATGGAAACTTAAATCTGAGACTATGAGATGCCTATAATAAGTCCTAACTCTACAATTGACTTCATACAGATATCCTGCTGTGCTTAGGAGAAACTATGATTTGAGTGGAATTCCATGTGAGCCTAAATGCTTTGCCCAAGTGTATCAAATCCCAGGGCTAGGACTGAAGACTAAAAAGCACTTCCAGATATGAAATGTTATATGCAGAATGTATCTGAAGAGCATTAAAGAATGATATGGTTACGACTGAGTGGAAAAAAAAGTTGCAGTTACTGTGGCATGTGCTACTTTAAATGTAGTTTGTGTTTTTAAAAATTAATTGAACTTTTTTCTGTTTCCCACCCCATCAGTTCCTTAATGCTAATTATCAAATTTTATGGGGAGCACTTCTGTGGCTCATTATGCTTGACAATAAACCTAGGTCATATGGTGATTTTTTTTTTAATATATATATATAGCCTCAGAATATATTCATATCCCATGAAGATAAAATAAAAATAGGCGACTTTGGTCTTGTGACTTCTGTGGCGTACGGGACTCTGACTGAGAACAGAGGAACAAAATCATATATGGCACCAGAACAGGTAACTATCCTGCTGTATTAGTGTCTCTGTAACTGGATTTGCATTATAAACTTAGCATTGGATGTGCTCAATCCTAATTTCAGTACTAAACCAAGTTGCCTAAAGTTCCCTTTTATGATTGTATACGAGGATAACTGTATTCTGGAGAAAGCTGTCTGCAAGTGTGATTTTATTTCGCTATGCTGACCTGTGGGGTCTGACACTGCACTGTAAGGAATGCTCTTGCAAAACCAGGCTGCCAGCCAGGTATTCCAATTTGAATTTAGGACCTCTGTTAACTGTGGCATTTGAGTCCTTCTATTTGTTTCATTATTTGTGACAGAGATATTGGCATGCCTTATCTGTATAGTCTGTAAAAGTCTTAATTTCAGTGTGCTTAACGTGACATAATAGTCACTATTTAACAGGTCTGCAGCAGAAAGGGTTAATGACTACTACGAAGATCAAGTAGGGCCAGTCCTGTAGCCTTGGGGTGGAAATTTCTACTGACTTCAAATTTTGCTTTAGGAAGTGTTGTCCAGTTGGATTTGACACCTCTATTGTTCTTGTTCTCATCTTTGTAGTTTGGGGACAGATATGGAAAGGAAGTAGATATTTATGCACTGGGATTAATTTGGTTTGAAATTCTTTCGGCATTCAGTGGTCATGAGAAAATTAAGGTATGTAATCTTTAAATTTAAAAAACTCCAAGTCTTATTGTTTTGTCTTGCTGCTGGTATCGCATGCTGATTGCATGCTAGAAGGAATCTGTATCTAGAGTACTGTCTCTATTTACATTTTCCCGTCAATTCATTTCTGTAAGGCCTGTGAGTCCTCACACCTCAGCTGAAATGTAATAACTGAAGTAAAGAAACATTACTGGTTTTATTTCACTTATGTTCTACTGACATATACATTAAAGCCCGAGCATGCTAAAGAATAATGTCTAGTAAAAAGGGTTTCAAGTTTCTGATAAATCTTTTTGTTTGATCAGTGTTTGAAGGGAATATTTTTCTAATTTTAGAAAAATTATGAATGGGAGAGTTTTGTCTCTGCCACACTCTCGTCTTCACTGCATAGTGGAGCAAGAACAAAGTTTCTATTGAGCAAAAACACTTGCAGTTTTTCCAAAATGAAAACAAAAATAATTTGGAATATGTAGCTTTAATTGAAAAAGATTTTACTTCAAAAAGAAAACCAGTGTTACTTAAGCTTTTTTTGAAAATGCATCTTTTATGTGTCTTTGCTTTTTCTTGGTACTTTGCACATTATTAGTGTAACTGCTCGTATGCTCAAACCTACATATTTGTAGGACAGCAATGTACCTGCTGAGTATCTTGTCTAAAGTGATTGTAAGATATATGTACGTGGTTGGACCCAGAAGATCTTGAACAGTTAGCTTGGTCCTTTTGCCAATATGAGAAAACCATACCAATGTGTCTGCACATCTCACAGGTTCAACTTGGCTCTGTTTAGCTACTGTGTAGTAGTTTCTGAGACATCTTGTTCCTGCTCACAGCTGACTGTGCAAATGTGTCCACAGTCCCACGGTGTTTACAGTCAAAAGGGCAAGACCAATTATTTAGTCTTGTTTCCTTAAGGCATAAGAATCTTGTGTCTGTAGCCAGCTGGGGAAGTCATGTGGATGGAAAGTCCTAGGATGGTCCTCAGCTGCTCCATCAGCTTAGAAAATAATTTCACTTAATGGAGCTTGATAAACTCTGTTGCATGGTGCTGGCAAGCCCTGCTGAAAGAACATCATGCAAAAGTGAAGTTGATTATGAGCTGTGTAACTGGTTCAGCTGATGATCACTGGGAAGTAGGGTCACAAGCCTAAAGCTACTGCTGAAGAGTAAGGAAAAAGCTTGAAGTTCATGGGAGCTGTTGTTTTACTGGATACTGGTTATAAGGGCTTGCTAAGCCATGCTATAACATCCATACGACTAGGTAATGATTGAGGATGCATAGCTAAGTGTGCAAGAATATGATTGTCATCTTCTTCACACACATATTACACTAGTTAACAGCAAAGTGAATGATGTGGACTGCTCTGTTTACCCAGAAAGCTACATCATGTGGAAAAAATAGTTGTTACCTGGGCATGTAATTAGAAATTCTCTGTATGTTAGTTGCTTTGAACTCCATGTAGCATTTTCTGCAGTGACATAGAAGTAAGTGTGCGGTACTGAACAAGGTAAGAGGGAGGAAGCACACCTGCTTGGCTTGCAAATAGTAACATCCAAAGCAGGAAATTTAGTCGTCTTGCCTTTTTTTTTTTTTAATGTGGTAAGAGGATATAAGACCACTACTTTTAAATTAAGGAAAGAAGGATAAAGGTTCTGAAATAGAGAGGATTGCTGAAACAAACACATCATTGTAGAGTGTGAAGCTTTTAAGCTTAAAAAGGGACAATAGTTGATGAAAAGACCACAAAAAACCAAAACAAAGTACAACTAAATGGAAAAAACTTTCAAACTGTTCAGCATTATTTTCTTTTTGAAGACTTATCTTTTTTTGTAGATCTATATTTTCCTAATTACTTGAGTAAATTATATGGGTCATAAAGTGAGATGCAAAATATAATCAATGAAAACATACTGAAACTGTTCTCTTTTATGAATTTCAGGTATGGCATGATGTTAGAGAAGGTCAACTTCCAAAGAGCTTCACCAAACAATTTCCAGTAAAGGTATGGGATTTTAATACATTATTTCAGTTAGTTTATTTACTCATAAAAAATAATTTATTGACATTTAATTTCTTTTTCCAGGCACCCATGATCAAAAAGATGCTTTCAAGAGACCCTTCAGGAAGATACTCTGCATCTGAAATACTTGAGTTTTTTAAGTCTGTTGATAAAGACAACTCATTTAAAACTCATACTCGGTAAATGCCTTTCAGATGTAAAAAGGCTTTCAGATGTGTTTAAATCCAGAGTTTGACATCTGAAACTGATGAAATAACAGTAAATGTCAGAAGCAACAACAAGACTTAGATATGTCTTTTCCGTTGTGTTTCGCCTTCCTGCCACTGAGGAGCTTGTCAGCCAAAACGGTCGCATCACCATTCATGCCCGTCAGCTGCACACCAGGACAGCATACTTCTGCAAGCAACCGCTTGTGATTTTTACCTGGAAACACAGGTTGTGGATGAGCTGAACTGTATTGTACAATAAGTACAGGAACCTAGTCCTTGTCTCCTAGAAGATTAAGTTGATGTGGTGCTAAGTGGCCTATGGCAAATCCCTGTATGCATGCTCTTACATGTGCTGCATCCATAGAATTATAGAATCATAGAATGGTTTGGGTTGGAAGGGAACTTAAAAGATTGTCTAGTTCCAACCCCGTGCCATGAGCAGGGACACCTTCCACTAGACCAGGTTGCCTAAAGCCCCATCCAACCTGGCCTTGAACACTGCCAGGGATGGGGTGCATCCACAACTTCTCTGGGCAACCTGTTCCAGTGCCTCACCACCCTCACAGTGGAGAACTTCCTTACATCTAATCTAAACCCTCTTCAGTTTAAAACCATTACGCCATGTCCTATCACTACATGCCCTTGTAAAAAGGTCCCTCTCCCGCTTTCTTGTAGGCTCCCTTTAGGTACTGGAAGGCTGCTATAAGGTCTCCCCAGATCCTTCTCTTCTCCAGGCTGAACAACACCAACTCTCTCAGCCTGTCTTCACAGGGGAGGTACTCCAGCCCTCTGATCATCTTCGTGGCCCTCCTCTGGACTCGCTCCAACAGGTCCATGTCCTTCTTATGTTGGGGGCCGCAGAGCTGAATGCAGTACTGCAGGTAGGGTCTCACCAGAGCAGAGCAGAGGGTGCAGAATCACCTCCCTCGATTTGCTGGCCATGCTTCTTTTGATCCCGTCCAGGATACGGCTGGCTTTCTGGGCTGCAAATGCACATCACTGGGCTATGCTGAGCTTCTCGTCAACCAACAGCCCCAAGTCCTTCT